CTCCGTTATTCCTTCAAGTGATCGAAATCATATCATTTTGCTGGTCGTTTGTTTGTTGGGTACCCATTTGCCTATGGATCTTAGATTAATTGCGTTTTTAGGATTTTAAGAATATAACACGATTGAAATTCGACGCATTTGGTTGTATGTTTTCTTTCTAATGCTTAATTTTCCTCTCTTTCCTTGTATTTGGTTTCAATGCATTAAGAAACAACCATTGATAAGGTGGTTTCATTTCATATTTTTCTTTATAAAGTTATAGAAATGATTCCTTTTTTAGTGTTCCAATGCAATCTGTGAAGTAAGGGTTAATGCTTAATTTTTTTTTCAAGTGAAATATTGTACAAGTTGAACCATTTTTATCACTTTTATGCTAATATCCGTATTTGTTATGTTAATTATTATTCATTGTTGGATTGTATATTGTTTATGAATCAATGTTAGAAGAATGATAGAGTTATTGATGCTTGAGACGGATGTTATCTGCTTTATGTTTGTAACCGTTTGGGTTGGTCTTACGCAGCAGGCAGTGGTTTGAAGTTTTTGCCTTTAATTTGTCAGTGCTAATGTTGAGAATTTTATGATCTATATATGCATCAGTGTTACTATCTATGGAGTTATTAGGGGTTGAATTATAGGCTTGAATCTTCTATTTAGATAATTTTCTTTTTTTCTTTTTTTTCCCGGAGTGCTCATATTTTCGGTGAGCAATCTTGCTGCCTTCGGCTATGTTCGTAGGATTGCTCATTGAAGATTCCAGCATGTGACATGTGCATGAATAGACTAGTCTAAATTTCTGAACCTTACACTTTGGTTCAGGGTTAAATGTCAATCAAAGTAACTGAAGAGCTTTGAAGTTGTGGTTCTAATTAGGAGCATTCGCTAACAACTTTAGATTCTTTTGGTTTTATATATCATGAAGTGAGAACTTGCATATTTTAATGGTAATCTAGGTGGGAATTTTCTTGTTAAGAGAGCGTGCTAAGACAAATATTCATCTTTTGGGAATTTGAAATTAATTTGAAACGTTGTCATAGACTTTTCTTCCATTTTTCTATGTTCTTTATGAGAAATATACTATATTACTTGGTCTTATTGACTTCCATTCGTTACTGTTGGAAATTTGGTCATTGAGAGCATTGATTTAGTCATAATCTATGAGATATTCTAGGATTTGTTTTCTATGTAATATAGAAAGTAAAAGATGTAATCAAGAAAAAGTAAAAAAGTAAAAAAGTAGAAGCTGTCAAATATTGGTTCTAATTAGTTTCCGTTTTTGTTGTAATTTCCCTCTGTATAAAAGGAGCCTTGTACTCATTCAAGAAATAAGACATATTATTTCTTCATTCTTTTCTAATTTGGTATTAGAGTCATAATCGTGTCTTAACCCTAAAACACAACAGTTCCAAAATCACTGTAGCCATGTCTGAAGTTGCGTCGGAAATCACCTCAACCCTTGCTGCGGCCACTCCGTAGCACCACTCCAATTCTCATTCTGTCCAAATCACCACCATCCACTTAAATGGTGACAACTTCCTCCGATGGTCACAATCAGTCCGGATGTATATTCGTGGGCAAGGAAAAATCGGTTACATCACTGGTGACAAGAAGACTCCTGCTGTTGATGATCCGCTATACGCTACTTGGGATGCTGAAAACTCCATGGTTATGACATGGCTGGTCAATTCCATGGAGGAGGACATAAGCTCCAATTACATGTGCTATCCTACTGCAAAAAAATTGTGGGATAATGTTAGTCAGATGTATTCTGACCTAGGCAACCAATCTCAGGTTTTTGAGTTGACTTAAAAATTGGAGGAGATTTGTCAAGGAGATAATTCTGTCACCACATATTTTCATTCGTTGAAAAGGCTGTGGCAGGATCTTGATCTCTTCAACACATACGAATGGAAAGTATTGACGACTGTAATCACCATAAGAAAACTGTAGAAGATAGTCGTATTTACAAGTTTCTTGCCGGCCTCAATTGAGTTTGATGAAGTACGAGGAAGGATTATGGCAGACCTCTTCTTCTTCCATCCATTGGCGAAGTATTTGCCGAAGTTAGAAGAGAAGAAGCCGAAGGAATGTCATGCTCAAAAAGAAGAGTACTGGTGAGTTAATTGAAAATTCTGCCTTATTGAGTGATGTTGTAGCCTACAAGGCAGCAAACTACCAGCGCAAGTCTGATGATAAACCACGGGTCTGGTGCGATTTTTGCAACAAACCCCGCCATACACGTGAGGCATGTTGGAAAATTCATGGCAAACCTGCTAACTGGAAAAGCAACAAGCAAAGAGAGAAGAATCGTGGAATTCCTACTACAAGTGAAGCTGACTCAGGTCCCTTCAACAAAGAGCAGATTGATCAACCCTTGAAACTGATAAAATCCAATTTCTCATCCGGTATTCCTAGTGTTTCTTTGGCACAAACAGGTAGTAATCCTAAAGCCCTTTCTTGTCCAAATTCCTCTCCGTGGATAATAGATTCTGGAGCCTCAGATCACATGCCTAGTTATTCTCATTTATTTAATACCTATTCACCTAGCCCTGGAAATGAAAAAATTAGAATTGTTGATGGTAGTTTTTTACCTATTGCAGGAAAATGACTCATTAAACTGACAGAAAATTAATCTCAATAATGTTCTTCATGTCCCTAAATTAGCATGCAATCTTTTGTCTGTCAGTAAACTATCTAGAGATTCTAATTGTTGCATTACCTTCTTTGAATTACATTGTGAATTTCAGGACCGGAACTCGGGGATGATGATTGGACGTGCTAGGATGATTGAAGGTCTTTATTACTTTGATGAAGTATCTATCAGTAATAAAAAAGTTCAGAGCTTTAGTGGTACTAGTTCAATTTCTGTTCGAGAAAAAATAATGTTGTGGCACTATAGACTAGGACATCCTAGTTTTCTTTATTTGAAACACTTACTTCCAAAATTATTTAAAGGGATTGATTGTTCTTCTTTTCATTGTGAAAATTGCATTTTTTCAAAAAACCGTCGTTCCCCTTATTTACCAAAAGATTATCAGGTCTCCAAACCTTTTTATCTGATTCATAGTGATGTTTGGGGCCCTTCTAAAGTTACTACTATTTCTGGTAAAAGGTGATTTGTTACTTTTATTGATGACCACACACAGTTATGTTGAATTTATCTAATGAATAAAAAGTCTGACGTGAAAGATTTATTCAAAAATTTTTACACTCTGATTGAAAACCAATTTTAAACCAATATTAGTATTTTACATTCTGACAATGGAACATAATATTTTAATGAGCACTTAGGTGATTTTTTGAAAGAGAAAGGGATTTTTCATCACTCTACATGCCGGGATACCCCTCAACAAAATGGCATTGCAGAACGAAAAAATAAACATTTACTTGAAGTAGCACGTGCCATAATGCTTTACATGCATGTTCCCAAATACTTATGGGGTGAAGCAGTTTTAACAGTCGCTTACTTGATAAATAAGATGCCTATTAAGGTGTTAACATACAAAACACCACTCGATTGCCTAAAATCATCTTTTCCTGGAACAAGGTTGTTTTCTGAGTTACCTGTCAAAGTTTTTGGATGTACTGTCTATGTTCATGTTCCATGCCAATTTCGTTCAAAACTTGACCCACGTGCTATTAAATGCATTTTTTTTTGGTACTCTTCAAATAAAAAAGGGTATAAGTGTTTTGATCCTCAAACAAAAAAAATTCATGTGAGTATGGATGTGTCGTTTTTGGAAACAAAACCTTATTTCACAAAAAATTCTCTTCAAGGGGAGACAAGTGATGTAGAAGACAATTTTTGGGACATTTCTATCCCACTACCCAATGTCATTTATCCTACACAAAAACCACGCATTTCTGAGAGTGGTCGCTTTGAAAATCCAAATTCAAGTGTTTCTAAAAACGATTGCCTAGGAGAACCAGGTTATGAAGGAGATTCTCGTTCAGGGGGAGAAGTACTACAAACTAATCAACGTGATTTGAATTATGAGCTTCAGTTTTATACTAGGAAGAGATTTCATTTGAGAAATAAAGACTCAAATATCAACCATGCACGAAACTAATATGAAGATCTAAGTTCTGGTGTCGAAACTTCAGGTAATCCTATCCCTACTACACCTTTGATTTCCTCCACTTTGTCCATCAATTCACCTAGTATTCCTGATCTTGATGTCCCTATAGCACTTAGGAAAGGTGTCCGAAATTGCACTCAACATCTCATTGCAAAATATATTTCCTATCACAGACTATCAAAAAACCATAAAGCTTTCACATCTAGGATTTCACATTTGTTTGTTCCAAGGAATATACAGGAAGCATTGGATGATCCGAATTGGAAATTAGCAGTCATGGAGAAGATGAATGCTCTAAGTAGAGGTACATGGGAGATTGTCGATCTACCCAAAGGAAATAAAATAGTCGGGTGTAAATGGGTGTTTACAATAAAAAGTAAAGCTGATGGAAGCGTTGAGAGATACAAGGCGAGATTGGTGGCTAAAGGCTTTACTCAGACATATGGGATTGACTACCAAGAGACTTTTGCTCCTGTTGCTAAAATAAATTCTATTAGAGTGTTGTTATCTATTGCAGTGAACTCCGATTGGCCTCTACATCAACTTGACGTTAAAAATGCATTTCTCAATGGTGATCTGGAAGAGGAGGTGTATATGAGCCTACCGCCAGGATTTGAGAAGAAACTTGGCAGTAACAAAGTATGCAGATTACATAAGTCACTATATGGACTCAAACAGTCACCAAGAGCTTGGTTTGACCGCTTTGGAAAGACAGTTATCAGTTATGGCTTCTTGCAGAGTCAAGCTGATCACACAGTATTTTATAAACATTCAAAAGATGGTAAAGTTGCAATTTTGATTGTTTATGTTGATGATATTATTCTCACTGGTGATGATGAAACATAATTAACTATTCTAAAGAAAAGACTAGCAAAGGAGTTCCAAATTAAGGACCTGGGAGCTCTTAAGTATTTCCTTGGAATGGAATTTGCAAGATCTAAGGAAGGCATATTTGTCAATCAGAGAAAATATGTTCTTGATCTCCTTGGAGAAACAGGTCTACTTGGTTGTAAGATGGTTGAAACTCCGGTTGAGCCAAACTTGAAGTTACAAGCTGCTAAGGTTGAAGAAGTAAAGGACAGTGAACAATATCAGAGATTTGTAGGGAAGTTGATTTACTTGTCTCATACACGGCCTGATATTGCTTTTGCAGTTAGCAGGGTAAGTCAATTCATGCACTCACCAGGGGCGGAGCATTTCGAGGCCGTCTATAGGATCTTAAGATATTTGAAAGGAACTCCAGGAAGAGGCTTATTGTTCAAGAAACATGGACATCTTCAAGTTGAAGTCTACACAGACGCAGATTGGGCAGGAAGTGTTACAGACAGAAGATCAACGTCTGGATACTGTTCCTTTGTTGGAGGAAGCCTAGTTACATGGCGGAGTAAAAAACAAAATGTGGTAGCTAGAAGTAGTGCTGAAGCAGAATTCAGAGCCGTTTCCCATGGAATCTGCGAGGCGATGTGGATAAAAAGGATTCTTGAAGAATTGAAGTTTTCTTACTCGACTCCAATGAAGGTCTATTGTGACAACAAAGCTGCTATTGCTATTGCTCATAATCCAGTTCTTCATGATCACACGAACAACAGAAGTGGATAAAAATTTCATCAAGAGCCAACTCAATGCGATGAATAGCTGACTACAACATAGGCAATTTGGTAATCTGACTAGCAAGCTGGCTATGGAAGATATCTTAAACCAGCTTGAGGGGGAGTGTTGGAAATTGGTCATTGAAAGCCTTGATTTAGTCATAATCTGTGAGATATTCTAGGATTTGTTTTCTATGTAAATATAGAAAGTAAAGATGTAAATCAAGAAAAAGTAGGAAAGTAGAAGCTGTCAATATGTTCTAATTTTCCGTTTTGTTGTAATTTCCCTCTGTATAAAGGAGCCTTGTATTCAATAAGATACATATTATTTCTTCATTCTTTTCTAATTGTTACTATTAATGTTTGCATGGCATTGAATTAAGTGCTTGCTCCTGAAGTTTTTGCCCATATTCAAAGTAAAGCTCTTCATGTTCATGGCAAGCTGTGAGCTTTTATATTGATTTAAGATGTTTTGGGTACTTATTTCTGAAATAGAAGTAGGAGGATTAGAATAATTGAATTAATGAGTCATATTCTGGAGGTTGAGATCCTGCTTATTTAGAAATGGCCAAATCAACATATGCATCGAGCAAAGAAAATATCTGGGTCGTTTCTTTCTCTAATTTCTGTTTAAGGCATTAGTTGGTCTTCCTAGGCATTTCTATTTAAGTGAAGAATCAATTTACTTTTATGGATTTATGGAATCTTTCAGTTATGTGGAATACTTCAAACATCCAAATGACTTTCCAACATTCAACCACTAAGAAAGTTAACTTTGATTTGTAGTCTGCACTAACAATGATTGATCTATTTGGTTGATTTATTTCTATAAATATTACACTCTCTTTTATGCACATCAACAATGTTTTTGGTTGCATTACATAAAATCTGAGGTTTATTACAATTCAGCTTTTTCATTCATATCAAATAGGTTTGTCCTGAAACAGTTTTACATATAAGAGATTCTAGAAATAGAAGTGTTAAAATTTGAAGTTCATTTCTTAAATTTTTGGAAAATAGAAAAATAAATAATTGTACCGTGGTCGTTTTGGCAGGTACTTTGGAATTCAATTAAATTGGATAAAATGTCTTCCCCTAGCAAAAGGCGGGAAATGGATGTAATGAAGTTGTAAGTTTTTCTTCCATGTTACACTCTGTATCCAGTGCCGTCTTTGGTTCAAATGACTTGATTTCCATATCTTTTATGTTTTTGAGGACAGTCTGCTATTGTTTTTCCTCAATGAAGTAATGGAGTTTGTCAAGGTGGTTTTGGGCACCGTTCTTAGAATTACGTTAGGAGGGCTAAGATTTAGTGTTGCTGAGGAACCAAACCAGTTGACTTAATCAAACAAGTGATTTGAGTTGTTTCGATCATATGGCTAACACGGTAGCGCCATGAATAGATTGAGGCGAAGACTGTAAACCAATTGAATTTTTGAAACATTTATTATCTGATGAATGGTCTGTGTGTGGACTAGGTTAATAAATAGATTGTCATACTGCACAATGCTGTAATTGGTGTAGATTCATTTTAACGGTCTTAAGAACTCATTCATCTTTTTGGTTTTAAGTTGTGGACATGAGGGGCTATAACCTAAACAGGGTTTTATCTTAATGGATATTATTCATTAATACACATGTTATTCTATTGTGTCATGGTCATTAATGACATAGAGAGATATGTTTCTGTTTCTGTTTCTATTTACTTAGAAGATGTTGCTACTTTACCCTTTTCATTTTGTAAAAGTTCTATTGAATATGGCAATTGTTTCTGAATTTTGGATTTTTAGTCCAAGTGCTAATACCACATTCAGTCCAATTGGCCTAAGGCTTCTCTATAGAATAGACTCTTCCCACTGCTAACTGCTAAGCTAATTCTACTGCCGAGCTAAAGGCTCTAGAAAGAAGGCCTTCTCACTCGGGTCACTAAAGACCGAGGCACGAGCCAGCTTAACCCATTCCCAAGCCCGGATAAGCAACATCTGAAAAGGAAGTCAGCTAAGTCCCGCCCCAATCCTGCATCTTCATCTGCTTACCCTCTTTCGGATGAGTTCTCTATCTCTTTGCCATTTCTCTCTAATTTATCCAGGATGATGATACTATGTGGAAACAATAAATGATGGACTCAACGAGTTCAATGTCGAATTTCATGGTCCCAAAGAAAGTATGCTTATACTAATCTATTCAATATAGGTTCTACAGTTATATTTCATATGACTGACAATATTTTATATGTTCATGTAATTGCTACCTGGCACCACTAGTCGCAACGTAGTCAGTTGACTTGTAGGGACTGTTCTATAGCATTATATGCTTATCAATTTGGGAACAGATGGTTAGATTGATTAAACTGTTATACAATAAGAGCCAAGCCTCTTTAGCACACCTATACAGGTTTGCTCTCTTCCCTCACTCATTTCCTTCTACATGGAATGAATTGATTTCGAAAACTTTTTGTGCTTGCAGAGTTTTCTTTTATCGTCAGGTCTAGCCTGTACCCATTTTTTCCTTCAGAAGCCAGATTAGTTGGACTTGCGTCCAAGTGACAGATATGGCATGTGTCTGATGCAGGACATTCGCTTTTCCATGTATTGGAGGGTCCTTGAAAGACCATATCCCCATATTCATGTCTAGATACGCATGTGTCATGGTTGTCAAACATGGGCACTTTAAGAAAATGAGAAGTTTTGAGTAACACATTTGGGGAAGTCCTTGTTTCTTTCTTTAATCTTTAACCTCTTCAATTGCAATGCTTATAGGTCTGTATGAAGGTGGAGTTTGGAAAATCCGGGTTGAGCTCCAGATGCTTATCCATACAAGTCTCCTTCTATTAAATTCGTGAATAAGATATTTCACCCAAATGGTTGATGAAACGTGAGCCATTTTTTATTTCTAACTTGATTCTTATGGATTGCAATATGTCATGCAAATGGTGAAACTACTTAAGATCCTCATGTATTATTTCAGGTCTGGTTCTGTATGCTTGGATGTTATTAACCAATCCTGGAGTCCAATGTTTGGTGAGCATCAGCTGACTTCTATTGGTTCTTCTTGATTGATGAATCCCCTTATGTGGTTTTCGTCCTGTTGCAGATCTTTTAAAACATTTTCGAAGTTTTTCTTCCGCAGCTCTTGCTTTATCCAAACCCTTCAGACCCCCTAAATGGGGACGCAGCATCATTGATGATGAAGGATCGAAAACAAATGATCAAAAAGTAAAAGGTAAATTTAAAACTTTTGATATGGTGGTAAACTTTATGGTTATGCTTCCTTAGCACAAGACATTTGTTCCGGTAAGAAGAGAGGGCGGTTGCGCAATGAATATTAATTTCTCCGGCTAAGTGATGTTATCTTTAACAGAATTCTGTGAGCGTTTTGCGAAGAAAGAAAATATCACGAAAGCAAAGCTATGAGGAGACCGATGACGATGAAAATGTAACAGATGAAGAAACCGGGTCCAGTGATGATGAAATTGCTGGACATGCTGATCCATAAAATACCTTTGGAGGTCATTGTTTCTATGAATTAAAGTCGGGATGAAAGCCATTCATCTCTCTCCTCAGCGTAGAAAATTAGAAGTGATAAGTGAATTTTCAGAATACTAGGGCCTACAATTGATACATTACATCACTTTGATTTTTTCAACATAATATATATAATATATATATATAATATATATATATTGATAATTTTGGATGGGGTGCCTCACTAAGTCTCTTGCTGGAGTGGGTTATGGGATGTCTACTTTAGTTAGTTATTTGATGTCCTGCATAGTTTGTATTGTATTTCCCGGTAGATCAGTACTCGAAGATATGAGAAATTATCTCATGAAATGTAAGCAATGCAACAGTTCCCCCTTGTTCTTTCTGTTTGTTCTACCATCAATACGTGATGAAGTACACCTCTTTTTTTCTTTTCTTCTTAAGCAAGCAAACCAGATTAACCTGTCCATTTGCCCTTTGCTTGTTCATCAAGAAGAAGCATTTCGATCCGAATACTACCAGTTTTGTTCTTTTTTATTCCATGTCTTGAGTTGGGATGATTAACAAGTGAAGCCATCACTTGTGCATTCATGGACAAACTTGCAGCTGGAAATGTAGAGAGATCAAATTTGGGGTTGGAACATGAGTTCAGCCCCTGCAAAGACAAATGGAGCATTACAAGTAAAGAGTTCAAGAGAAGAATGGAGAGGCTGGACCAGGCGAGGCATCCAAATGTATTGCCATCGGTTGCACTTTTATAGTAAAGGGACAAATTCGCTTATAATCTATAGTACAGGACCTCAAAGTAATTTCAACCTTTTTGTGCTTTTAATATATTAATATAAAAATCAATATTTGATTGTTGATTCAGAATGGTGAACTGGGAAAGCAGATTAAATGTAGCAGCCACTGTTGAGTGGGCATTAGCATTTATGCTTGAGGAGCTTAGTGGCATGGAATCGCTCATGGTAACCTCCAATCCACAAACAAACTCTTCGACCAAGACATGGATCCCTGTATCAGTGAATTGGGAAAATGGTGTTCCAACTCCAACACTTCAGCAACCATGCCTAAGGGAACTTCAAAGCTGACATCTACAGTTTCGGAGATTCGCTCGAACTTCTAACAGGGAGCTGGTCCAGGCTAAAGGGATGACTCGGCACGACGGTACACTCGGTTTTAACCAACTTATGTTCTCCCCCCTCTCTCGAAAATTACAATTAAAGGGTATTAAGTTTGTTGAGTTGTTTTGAAGACATTTAAAGGTGCCCTCTGCTTGCCCAGATATCCAAAGAAAAAAGAGAGGCAAATTTTCAAGAAACAGCAATTGCAAAGCATTTTATGCATTGATTAAAACCTGTACTTGTTTGTTCACAAACAAAAGCACTTTTCCACCGCACTTTTAAGAAACAATGCTAAACTAAATCAGAAGTAAATGATGCCCTCAGTCAAGATACCTATGACAATGCATCTAACCTGAGAAGCATCGACTCAGCATCCGAAAATACTTAAATCAACCAACAGCCCACCTATCAAACTGCGCTGGTCACCTACATTCATTCTGTTCCCATTTCTGTATAATTGTGTCCGGCCATAAGCCCCCATGATTCTGTCTTTAAATGAATCCAGTGCAATCCAAAGCAAAACAAATCATCATGTTTCAAGCACAACTTTCGAACAAAACTTCAATTTCCAGAGGAACAGGGAGAGATGATATAACTGTGTCGTTTGTGGTGGTTGTTGGTGTTATTGAAAACTTTGGTCTTTGAGCTAGACGTTAACTTGTTAACTGATATATGATAAAATCTAATCTCATAATCATTTGAGGTGTATTTTGTGGATCAAGTATCTATTTACATTATGATGCCGAACCAATGCTTAAAAGTAACTTTGGTGTTAATATACCATCATTAAAATATAATCTTGTCATATCTCAATCAGTAAGTTAACGTCTAGTTCAAAAGACCATCAACATTTTAATAGAAAATGACGAGTTTGAAATATATGAATAGTCGGAACTCTCCAAAGCAATGCCTTATTGTAAGAGGCCATTTGTGTACTTTAACCTATAATTAGGCATGGCATATTCACAAAAAGTCCTCAACATTGGCTTTTTTCATTCAATTGAGTCCCTTATGTTTATTTGAACCTTCATGTTTCAATTTTCAAAGAATGTATTTTTATTTCAATGATGGTTAATATTTATGATGTGACAATATTTTTTATTCAATCATATTTTTTCAATCTTTTAAGTTTATATTATTTCTTTAGATTTAAGTTGAATGTAGTATATGTGTCCTTTTTTATTTTGTTTGTATTAACTTGTATCGCCGTAAATACATATTTTTTTAATCGAACGTTGAGATAACATGTAAATTTGGGGGAAAAACATACATCAATGTAATTAAGTTATATATTCTATTAAATAATATCGACTAAACTATTATACTATTTAAAAAATGATAATATAATCTTCTAGACATGTAATCTAATTTATATTTGATTTAGTTACTAAATATGTCGTCGTTGAAAATGATTCAATTTTTTGACATTATTAATTTTAAATCAATTGGATGATACACACGACATTATGTTATGTATACACTTCCACATGACATACTAAGTTAATATAGGAGTTGTTAATCGATTAATAACTTTCCTCTTAAAAAATTATTTGATCTATAATAATAAAACGTTGAGAACTAAATATTTAAAAAAAAAAAATACTATTCAGTAAACATCAATGATGATTTTGACATTATACCATCAATTACCCATATTGAAATAAGAAAAAAAAGTGTAATAAGAATATTTTATATTTAAAAGACAACATTATAATTGGTAATCTAAAAACATTCACAATATTTTTTAGTGGAGCATATACTTATATAAGAATTATCATGTCATCTAATTTCTAGAGTGGCCAGTTAAAAATCATATTAAGAGTAAAAAGTTAAAATTCTTCCCCTTCCCTAAGTAGCAAAAGGGAAAAAATCCTTGTTAAAAATTAACATTTTCATTTTTTTAAACTTTCCATTTTTACTTTTGAAAATATTAATTTTCCTTCCTTAGAAGCTTCCCATTTCTCACCATTTTAGGAATTATTTTCATTTATTATTTTTTTGTCTGCAAAACCACCAAGAAAACCTACCTTACACCTACTTGATCAAATATGGTAAGCCCCAAAAGGCTCGACCTTGTAGGGTTACTTTCAAAGTACTAACTTTCAGATAATTACATTTAGTACTTAAATATTATTTATTATGTTTTGATATCTAAATTTTATTTCTTTTAAATCATATATAATTTTTAATTTAATAATCAATTTGATACCCACAATTAAAATTAATAAAATTGTTGATATGATATCTTTTTAATAATGACATAACATTATCCTTGGTAACACATCAACATCACAATAAGTTTAGTTTTGATACATGATACCTAAATGAAATCAAAACTAATGTTGAATATGATTTAAAAAAAATAAAATTTATGTATCAAAACCAATAAAAATAATAGTTTAGGTGCAAAACATGTAGTTTAGCCTTAATTTTACTAATAAACTTCACACCCATCTTTCCCATGGGTTCTTTAAAGTGTTCCATCCACCAATAAGTAAACGTGAAACCGAAACAAGGAATATTACAACTGTCATAAAAGAAGAAACATGGGATTTAGGTTTCATTCAATCTGGATCTGTTGAGGGGCGTCTTCTTCCTCTTGGGACCCTTCAGCAGAAATCTCATCCTCACTGATATTAGAGGCTTCCACAGTTCTAACCACCCATTCCTTCAATGGATCTTCATTCAAATCAAGCCTTAAAATCCCAGCAAACACCCCACCCATGAAGGCTACTGGCTCCTAAACACCGAAAAGACGGCATTAACACTGTATGTTTGGAAGATACAACCAATTTAACATCTTCAAATGAAAGATGTCAGAGATAGCAAAGCAGAAACCTAGCTGATTGCAGATTTAACCAACCAATAACCATTCTCAGTAAATCTTTTAGGGCATGACTTTATCTTACATCCATCCTGGCTAACCTATCTTACTCAGATTTGTATGCAATTGTTGTATGAGCACATGTATCTAATATGGGTATCTTCAAAAATTTCTAAGTTTTCCATGCATTTGAAGAAAGTCAGGTGAGCAAAACTCAACTCGACTGCCAAAAACTGATTTTTTCGACTTCACGCTAAAAAATTCGATTCAACTCGACTCGACTCATAATTTTATAAACTCAACTTGACTGGAAAAGATTTCAAATTCGAGTCGAGTTATAAAATAGAACTCGAATAACTCAAAACTTTTAGTAATTGGATTGATTTTTAATTTCGAGTCGAGTCCTCAACTCTACATGTTATATATATATATATGGTTATAGAAAGTCGTTTAAATTGGAATCAAATAGTACCATAACATTATAAATATTTACAATTAAATTTAAATAGAAACTCAAAAAACTCGGCTCGACTTAAAAAAAATGTCAAATAAAGTTGAGTTATAAAAACAAGACTTGCCAACTCGATTAACTATAAATTTTTTGACTCGACTAGACTGAATACTCACCCTTAGCCATACCCCCATATTTATGTCTGAAAATTCAACTTTGGGATGGTTGGACTATCTTTTCAACACTTGGATCCTGTGGGAAACAGTTTGATAACTTTCCCTAAACTTTTGGCTAACTGCACCAGGATACAGAAATTACTAACAATATCTTTGGTCCTCAAGTCTTACTAACTCTATTCCTATACTGGCTTTTACCACATCTACATTCGACAAAGTTTTAAACAGACAAAATTGGTGTTGAGCTCTCTTTTGTTCTCATGCACCTGTTGTATATATTATTAACAAGAGGAATAGCATATACCAGGGGTACAATATCCAGGCTGTGCCAGCCAAGGTCATCCATTACTACAGTAAGACTATAAAGCATAAAGCTGATTTGGGGTGTTATGCTCTATCATTTCTCCATGGGCCAGACACAAGTGGCTACTCCAGTGCAACTGTTCTTTACAGCCTAAATTAATAGACAAAACCTCTTTTCTCCTTTAAATAACCCTTCTAAGAATTTCTTTAAGAATCTTCACAATAAGTTTTCCAAATTATAACCATGCTCGGATGTTAATACTCTCTCCATATCTAGGAGTACTAGACTACATGGTATAATTGCTTCCTGTTAATTTTCGCCTCAAAGTCGGAACAAATGTATTTAGGTTGTTTGTTCTACAGTTGAAACTTATTTTGAATTACATAGAGTTGATTGCAAGCTGAACTCATATCTTTAGATCACATTGGTATAGCTCGGAAGATGAAAAGAAGTTAATGCATCCTTAAATATATACATATAAGAATCCACAGAAACAGAAACCATAAGTGTAACAGAATTTAATAATTAAAGGTAATGTATGAACACATTCTCAATCAGTTCCAAACAGATATTTTGGTACACAGCATCCCTCAAATTGTGAGATTCCACAGAAAGAGAAACCAAAAGTGTAAATTGAGTAAATGTAAGCTAATCTATGAAAATTTCCAATTCTCTTCCAAAAATAGAATTTGTGCTTTACTTTTTATCATCTAATGAAGTAGAGTTAAACAATGTAGTCAAAACTAATGAGTCATTTACAACAAAAGTAAATGATATCAAAGCACGATTACAATCACCACAATGCATCTTGGCTGTTCCAAATCAAAGTTTGAAAGTCAGCTTCTGTTTAATGAAGCTTAAGTACCCTTGATTACATTGCCTTAAAAAGCTGACCATCTGTTCAAAGGTTAAACATGATTCACACTCATTTTTGTAAAACACAATGGTATAAGTAAAAAGTCAAAGAAAAAAGCCAAGTTTTTTTGGTAGGAAGCAAATAGGAGGTTTGTGGCACGAATTTCAATTCTACGTTAATTGGAAGCAAAGTAGAAGGCAAATGTGACCTCTACTGAGATTTATAGACAAGGTTTTACAATGGACTGATAAACACATGCCTAACAAACTGCAAATAATCAAACAGTCTATTTTAAATCAGAACTAGCTCTTCCTACAACCTGACCCTTAAAATCACCTAAACAGAACTAATTATGTTTTAGTTCTCAAATAATTGCTCTATAAGACTGGCATAGTAACAGGATGGACCGAGGAGGGTGCTGGGATGCGGTCTCACCCTTAAAAATTTCAAATCCTCATATAGTTTAGGTATTTTTTCTTCTAGTTTCTATTGATGATATAATTTCACATCTCTAAATTTCTAATTTAACTTCCTAAGTTTGAATCTTTGACATAAATTCATGCATGGTAAGATATCCCTCCGAAGCCAATCGACCAAAGGAAAACAGAAAACTGAGTTGGTTCTTTAGGAGATTCAAAACCTCAAAATCCATTCTAATATATCTTGGTGTAGATTTAGAATCCAAAATCAGGTCAAAATTCAAACATGGAGAAAGGACAAAAACGCATCAGACGGACGAAAGAAATAATTGGGTAACAAAAAACGCAAAAAAGAAAGTTGAGCGGACCTTAACAGCTTGATTGAGGATGGGCACTTGATTGGGATCGAAGAAGAAGGCCTTCACAACCCTCCGCTTGGAGAAATTTGTATTGCGATTCGAATAAAAGCAGGAACGTTTCTTCCAAGTCCACTGCCAGAAACAAAATATATGATTATAGCATACCGAAAGAGAAAGGAAGTGAGAATGGAACCGAAGGTAATGAAGAGAGGTTGGAGTACCAGAGAAGACGAACAAGAGTTGGTCGCGCACACCACTCCCATTTTCTTTATCTCGTATGTTCTGTGTGCTTCTCGCGTTATCTTTTTTTTTTTTATAAATATAAATACTTTTTGTAATTATTTATGACAGAAATGTTCATATTATGGGTGGTTCTGTCGAGCTGACTATTTAAGGTTATGTAAAGGTGTAATTGAAAATTTTTTTTTTAAATATTTTTGATTGAGTATAAATTAAAATATTATTTGTGTAATTTAAAATATTATTTTTTAGTATTTGTAGTTGAATTAGAAATATTATAAAAATATATATTTTTTTGTCAATCTTATTTTTGATTGCGTCATTGATAGTCTTGTCATTCTTTATACATTCTCTTAGATTAGATAGTTTTATTATAAGGTGGCCTAATTTAAAACAATGAAAATACGCAATTTAGAATGTTAATTTTTTTAAGATACAATTAATAAAAAATTTGTCAATATATTATGCAAGATGTTTTATTTTCTTAACTAGAATATGATATTTATAATGTTTGGAAAAAATGATTAGATTATAGGATGACTTTAAGAAAAACACGTAAACAACAATTGAGTGGAGACTATAAAGATATGATGTTGTTCGTGTCTTTCTTAAAATCGTCCTATAATTTTGAAAAAATTATTAGATTGTTTGATGATTTTAAGAAAAATACGAAAATAACAATTGGGTGGAGACTAGAAAGATATCATATTATTAACGTGTCTTTTTTAAAATCGTCATGTAATTTTGAAAAAATTATTAGATTGTATGATGATTTTAAGAAAAAACACGTAAATAATTGGGTGGAGACTAGAAAGATATCATATTGTTGGCGTGTCTTTCTTAAATTTGTAAATATTACATTTTAGAATATAAAATATCTTGGGCGATATACGGGGAAATTCATTTTTCCAATGCATTATTTGGATAGTTTTATCATATATATTTGATTCATTAATTAATTTAAATCAAATAAGTAAATTAATAATCAAATCATTGACGGGTTTACACTTTTATCATGATGGACAAGTGCCGCTCCTAGAATCTGAATTTACTACCTATAATTATTTATTTTATTAATCATATCTATTTTGTACTCACTCCCGTACAAAAGAAATATTGTATTGTTTTTAAAATATCAAGTGTATAAATTAGTCTCATAAAACTTTAAAGGGTAAACTACAAATTTCATCATTAAACTTTACTCTCTCTCCTATTTTGTTTACTAAACTTTAAAAGTTTCCAATTTTCTCATTGAACTTAATATATTGGATTTTTTTGTCACCCGCCGCTAAATAGTTGATGGCGTTAAAACGATGCCGTTTTCACGAAATAAAAATTTCATCAAAACAACATCGTTTTGTATTTATATAACTATCCATTTATAATGTCGTTAGTGAGAAAATGATTGACTGAACAAAAAACTCTATGTAATAAGTTCAGTGAGAAAATTGAAAAGATTCAAAGTTATGTGAGTGAAATAAAAGATAGAGTAAAGCTCATTACCAAATTTATAATTTACCCAAGTTTAAAATGTATATAAAAAATAGTTAATTGCACATATGACCCTAACTATAACCCTCATTTTAAATTGATCCTTAAACTTTTGAATATTCTAATTTCATACTCAAACTATGACTCGTTTTAAATTGATCTTTGAAATTTTGAACATTCTAATTTCATCCCTAAACTATGACCCTCTTTCTAATTTAGTCTCCAAACTTTTGAATATTCTAATTTCATCCTTGAATTCATCCAAATATGTAATTAGTTTCAACCATAAATAAACCTAAATTTTGTTTTTCCAAACATATAATAATATAACTTTGCCTAATGATTTTATTAGCAAGAGATTTGATTAGTATACACGTATAACTTGTGATGAAATTGGAATGTTAAAAAAATTGGGGGACTAATTTGAAATGAATGTCATAGTCTCGAGATGAAATTTGTCAAACTTAAAAATAGGGCCTAAATTTTCTTAAAACTTTTTCGAGGACAAAATTGAATTTTAATTAAATTTAGGGACCAAGGTGAATTTTTAGTTAAATTGGATCCAAATTTAAAAAGCAACTAAAGATGGATGAACTATGACATAATTTTACCATTTTATTTTTTGGTTTATATAACCCCAAATATGGAGAAAAAATTAATTAATTTTTATCTCTCTATCAAAAAATTTTCTATTTTAGAATGAAAACTTTGATCGTGATTCATCACCGACCGTTATTCCGTTTTCGACACTTCCCACACCATCGTGTTTCTTGTCGTCCCGAGTCCACTGGTGTTCTTCTTGTCTTCGTTGTCGCCGACGTGTGAGGAGGTGAGGAAGATAAAATTTCTGACGTTTCTGAATCGAGCTCTCCGCCGTTTACCGTTGTGAATCGAGCTTGGTAAGCATCTCAAAACCCCTTAAAATGCATTTAAGAAATTTTTAGAATTTTTCCAACCCCGTAGGCCATGCACGCGTCCCCACGCGTCGGCCCTGCACGTGGGGAAAGTCTATCGCCTGGTGGACTGCTTGGAAATGGGTCGATCCGACTCGACCCACTGACCCGACCCGTTGACCCGTGTACGACCCATCTGCCCGATCGATTTGACCCGATCCAACATGAACCGTTGACTTTGATCCAAAAATTCAATTTTTTTCGAAAAAAACATATTTTATATTATTCGACGTCATTAGTATGATTCTGAAGTCCGTTTTGCCAAATTCTAACCCGAAAGCCCCGAATTGAGTCCGTTAATCCGAAAATGCTTAGTATTTTTAGCATTTTTGTTTATTTATTTGAGATTTGGTTATGAAATTAATCCAAGAAAATATTTTTATGAAAGTACTCGTATTTCACCTAACCGAGAGTCAGTTAGATCCGGTGTTTCCCGTCCGTCAGATCCGCTCGATCTGCTCTACGAGAGTTATCCGTATGTTTCCGTAAATTGTTTAAATAAAGGCTAATCTTATTCATATTAGGATTCCGATATAGATTTTTTGATTTGTAGGATCTAGCGCTGCTGCTGATCGTGATCGACAGACTCAGTGGTAGGCTTCCCTATCAGACTATTTAGACCGATACAAGTGTGTTTCCTGTTACTGTTATATTACTGTTTTCAACTATCTGTCTGAACTGTTGAGATTTATGACAATACTGAATATTTTTACGACACAATACCTAATTTTCTGAACACAATTTATTTGATATTTGATTTATTGTATATTTCTGATATGATCTCTGGATTATCGCATTTTCGTATCTGATTTATGAAAATGGAATATTTTCATGTTTTAATGGATTAAACTGTCGTTTTCATTTGACTACATACATGTTATTGGGGTTTTATTGGAGGAAGCGTCTCAGGCCTAGTCTATGATTTGTAAGACCTTACCGCTTTCCGTAAGCTCATCGGCTTTGTGCTCAGAATAAGTCCTTACTGCAGGCTCCTCGGCTTTGTGCTCAGGGTAAGTCCTTACTGCAGTCTCCTATACTTTGTGCATAGGATGAGATCTTACTACATGCTCCTCTATTTTGTGCACAGGGAAAGCCCTTGCTGGGTGTATGGTTCTGGAGAACTTACACATTCTGGTGATCGGACAGGGGTAGTGTTCTTGTTTTTAAAACATGTTTGATAAACTGATTTTACTAAAATATTTTATTTGTATGTTTTTATACACCGTAAGGAGCACACTGAACATTTTAGCTCATTCCGTAAATTTTAACATTTTCAGATAATAACAGACGAGGCTAACAGACTTGGCATCAGGAGGATCGACTTCTCCTAATTTTGTACCACTGTATATTTTTATATGTCTTTCTGTTATATTTTGGTGACATGTGTTTTGCTACTGTCTTGATATATATATATTGTCGGTATTTTGTTCCATAAATGTTTTATACGGTTTTCTGATATATGTATATATATGTTTATCATATGAATCCTTATTATGGATAAATTTCATATTATATTGTTATATGGATTTTAACGTTGTTTTAAATATAAAAAGAATATCTGAATAAGATATGTGACCATCTAGATTTGGGCATAACGTCCAAGTCGGGTCTAAGGGTTACAAAATTAGAATATTTAAAAGTTTAGGGACCAATTAAATTACGTGTCACACTTTGAGGACATGTGATACAATTAACTCATAAAATATTAAAAATTCAAATAATTAATTTGAACAAATGATAAATACAAATAAATATTGTTGTTAACAATGAAAATAATACAATTAATATTGGCCTATATTCGATGATTGTGAATACTTATAAATATCAAACTTAAGATTCAAAATAGAAATAGATCAATAAGATAATAAAATAAGAGTCATTTGAAGAAAAAATATAAAAATATATATTATCAAAAATATTATAAAAATATAAAAAAACATGTTACGAGAATAAAAAGAAAAAAATTAACTAAAATAATAATATAATTTAAATTATAAAAAGAAGAGAAAAAAAGTTAGCTATAGACAATTGTTCAAGATTGTTGTTGTTGATAAAAAATATATTTTTTAATTTTGAAATTAGATAAACTATGCATCTAATATCTAAACTATCAGTTATGATCCATTTTAATACTTAAACTTTCATTTTTTTTAAAAATCATACCTAACATTTAATTTTTGTTTCATTTTATTATCCTATTGTTAAAAACTTAACATATTTAGTACCTAAACTATTAATTTTGATCATTTTTAATACTTAAACTTTCAATTTTTTTCTTCAAAATTTAACGTTAAATTTTTAACGAGTACCAAAATGAAACAAAAATTAAACATAAGTATGGTTTGAGAAAATTGAAAGTTTATATACTAAAACAGATCAAAACTGATACTTTAGATACTAAACTCGTAATTTACCTTTTAAAATTTTAAAGAAAATTTTATATTTTATATATTTATATAACGTGTTACTAATTTTATATCGGTAGCGACCTTAATTTTATTATCTCAAAGATTAAAATTTCCTGTTAGGTTTTGGTATAAAATTCCCAATCTTCTCTTCGTGATTTGCTGTGTTTTTTGAAATATGGCAGGGAGAGAAGTTCGTGAGTACACCAATCTGAGCGACCCCAAAGGCAAGTATGGA